TAATTTTATTTAATTTTATTTTATTTTATTTTACTTTATTTTATTTTTTGTCCTTTTTTATGTTTTTAATTTTTATTTTAACTATATTTTTTATGATTTCTACTTTAAGTTAATTTAGCTTTTTATTTTATTTATTTTATTATATTTTATTGATCTCTGACATCACCCATCTAAACTTTACACTTTTTTTATACTAAACCACTCTTTTGACCAGTTCACCAATCTTCCGCATAAAACTCTATAATCCACTATCTATCGAAAATGCGAATTCATGTCATTCACTTCCCTATCGGTTTAAACAACAACAACACAAAAAATCAATCGTATAGAAAGTGCTTTGACATTATTAAAAATGCTATTAAAAATATTTACCGCAACACGTTTTCCCAAAAACTTAGACACCATCGCAGAGCAGCAGCACTCGTTTGCCTTTCAATAGTTTTTGTTTGTACTTATAAGTTAGTATTTTGTTTGCACGCAAATCGAGTTCATAAATAACGAACGAATGCGTCCGGCAAGGCAGACGATACTCCGAGCCAAGTCAACTATAAACAGGCCAAGTCAACTAAGTGAATGCAACTTTTGCACATTGCACCGTTATAGTGTAGCGTGTACGTACGTGTAACTTGTACGACAACAACAATGATTATGCAACGGTGCAACAATATGTCTGCATATTATACCCGAGGTACCGACCGTGCCGCCACAAAGTCAATACATTCCACACTGCACAACTGCCTCAAGGAGTTGCATATTAAAGGACCTAAAAAAAAAACTTGGCTTTTATGCACTTCAATTGACAAATTTAGTCAGACGATGAGCCGGATGCACAAGCGACAACAATCGTGCGATGGTGGCGAGAAGCTATCGGAGAATCGGGGAGCCATATAGTGAATACTGAATGGTGAATGGGGGGGTTTGACCGGAAATCAGAGGGTAAGCACTAAAGCAGTTTATATGCAGATGAGCATAATTGATTTCATATTGAATGCACCCAACACGCTCATAAAACCGAAATACAACTCGTGTGCAAATGCAGACAAATGCATTCGTGTGTGTGTGCGGACTTACTTGACAAAAGTTTGCATTAGTATGCGATCACATACAATCCCATTTAGATATACTTTATATACATATGGGGATATGAATATTTTTGTAGAGTGCTGGCGCATGGTTTGCAATATGTTCGATTGTCCCAATACGAAATTGATGTAACAGAACCGAACAGTACTGTGGCAACTTTTCTTTAGCTGGCACGTCTGGCGTTTTACAGTAACAGTAAACAGTTCCCAAATAGAGTTCTGTGTTTGGTTTGCTGTTTTGATGGCCCTATATACTAATTTTAAGTGTACATATGTGAACATCTTTTAAACTTAGCTTACTTTACCGAGCGCCATTTGTCATTCTTATTTAGTGCTTAGGCCCAAGGCATATTCAACACGGTTGAAGTGATTTTGGCAGTTTTCTCTTTTTGGACTGCGACTAAAGTGTCAAACATAGAGCAAAAAATTTCAAATCGTTGTCACTTCTACTTGTTGAATATATCTTGCTTATGCCTAGGCCAAACACTTCACTAGTTGCCTCTCTCCTTTGTGAAGTCCCTGTATGCACTTGGTGAAAACAACTAGCGCAGTTTCGCAAAGGGGCGCGTAAACAGACCTTTCCGCTCTTGGTCCTTTTATTGTGTTCATGACCTCCATTTTTTTTTGTTCATTACCCATGAGTGCCGCGTGGAAGGATCTTTTCACCGATGCATCTTCATGTATTCGCACGGCTTGGCCGAAGCAACGCAATTGTAATGCCATCTTATTCGATATACATACTTAGAATAGTTCTATCTCAAAGCTCTCTCATTTGTATTTATCATCATCGATGTCTTTGCACCCTACAAAAGGACGTGGAAAAAGAGAGCTATATATAGCGTAAGTTTCGTTCGCCGGGACACCCAATCTCTATTTCCGAAAGCTCCTCGAGGATGAGAAAGAAAGGAGACCCAAAGTGTTTAAACCTTAAGTTCGCGAGTCGATTCGGCCTCCTCATCTTCCATACAGTTGCAGTAGGGGCTAAATATAGTGTCGAGCGTAAAAGTATGGATTCTGATCGCACATTGACCAGTTGGGTCTCTCAAAATGGAAATCGCAGTTGTAACCATCCAATCCGTGGCTTCCTTTATTGCGCTTTGGAAAAAACTGCAGGGATTCGTGAGACTAAATTTGAGGTTGATAGAAAGTTTCTCGCAGAAGACACCTTAACATGCTTTATCACTCAACTTCGACCCATCGCGAATACGCTCACAGGGCATTGATTGCTGACACTATATCTCACCAAGTCCTCTCTGAATAGAATGTGGGTAGGATCTACACAGAACAAGCAGTGGTGTGCAGTGTCACTTCAGATGTCCATAATTATTCCAGATGAATATTCTGTTTAATGTCGTGTTAATGGTGATAAAGCTCCAGCGCCACGAAAACAGACGGAATTTATGATTGAGTTACGGTCAGTTATACCTAATCTGGGTTTAGGTTGCTATTTAAAGCAGCATTCACCCTTTATACGCATTTATATATTTCGAAAGCCCTTAATAGAACTTAAAAGCTCCTTGGAGAGCTTTTAATTCCACTTAAATCCGTACAACCAAACAGGAAGTCTCTAATTCCTACAGGCCCATCAGCTTAACTTCTCCCCTCCCGCATAGAGATTATGCATTTGCTTGTGTGTGCATGTCGATGAGACACTCTTGCGTCAATACACCAATACATGCATATGCACCAACCAACACGAGTGAACATTTATTGTACACGTATGCATGCGCCTAATAGTATGCAAAGCAAATAGCACTTGCAAGGATCTATTGTGTACGATATTGGCGTAGGCAATTCATGTTTTATGGAGGAAACGCAACAGCAGCAACAAAAACAATACATACATATGTAGATACATATTGTAAAGCAGCAACAACCACAATAAGTTTGCTGTACCTT